ATAGAGGTCCTGCCCAATGTTAGAACACGTGAAGTTTCAGTGGCAGTGGCGCCTTATCAACGGAGTGATAAGGCGCCGAAATCCACTTCCGTTCAGCAAAAACCAAGACTTATCGATGTGGAAAGGGGTGCGATAAGAGCGTGCTAGATATGATACCGTTATCGTTATCGTCCCGTTTTCATTCTGGAGTGCACCTCTTATCAAGCAGCCGCACCTTCTTATCTCATCGTATCATATCTTCCATGGGCTTACACTCGTCCAACAATTACTGCCTCACACCTTATCGATTGATAACGCGAGGGTAGCAAATCCAGCGTGGAAGCCAGCGTGACCGCTTCCTTCAAACCAGTTTCTAGATAACGAACGCATTTCAACACAACATCACTGCATTTGCGCCCTTACCGTCAGCACTAAACACCTCGACCGCTAAAGTCTCCAGAGTTCCTAAGAATGTGTGACGGATGATCGAAGAAATGCGGTAATGACTACTGGGTGCTTCTATTTTAACATCGTTAGCAGGAAATATTATTCGACCGTTAAAGCGTTCTGACATTCGACTCATGGTGTCTGTTTACGAACACAACTTCTGTTCTGCATTCTACCCCGCGTATCAAGCGGTGTGATTCAGCGAAAACGTGCAGCCTATGAAGCGGTTAGCTAAGCCTTAGAAGCAGCTTACTGTTGCAATCTTCAGCGTGGGACCTGACGCTCTGTTTATATATTTATGTATGTATAACCGCAAAATAAAGTGAGGACAAGGCAGCTACTGGAATAAAGAAGCCGCTACAAATCTGGGTAGCTCGCAGGACTTGACGCAATAATGTTTTGCAATGGCATGATTGTGATAACACCACAACGGCTATATAAACACCTACTCGCACACTTCTATTCATTCCACTGGCGCTGCAGTGGCAAGTGGGGAGAAGTGGAGAGACAGGGGAGGATAAAAAGAGGAAAGGAACGCAAAGTTCACGCAGGGAAGGGAAGTTTCGGCAGTTGCTGGGAGCCAAACTGGTACATGTTTACTGATCTTAATGAAGATTTCAGCAGACTAACAATCAAAAAACCAGACTGGTCCTCCGTCAACCTGCGTAAGCTTCACGTCTTCCGCTGTGGTTTTCCACTTCTATACATAGAATGAGACTGTGTGTGCTTGATCGGTGTTTATGTAGCCGTTGTGGGTGTTATCGGAATCACAACATTACGTTAGAGTAATGTGCCAACACGGACCTTCCTCTCGAAAGCATTCGTTCTCCCACCCTGCATCCTCTCCCACCCCCTACTTTTCTACACTCCCCTCTTGCCCCTCCGGCTGCCACGGTAGTACCATGTCTTCCCTTCCTTTCTCCTCTCTTCCTTCCCTCCCTCTTTCCCTTTCCCCCTCTCCCTCCTCCCCTTCCTGCCCTCCCTTTCCTGCCCCTCCCTTCTACCCCCCCTCATCCAGCTGCCACGGCAGCACCATGTAGAATGAGACTGAGTGTGCTCGATCGGTGTTTATATAGCCGCTGTGGGTGTTATCATAATCGTGACATCAGATTCACCAAGTGTAGTCCTTACACAAATTTACAAGGTAGCAATTTTCGTGTTTAAAATATAATTTCAATGGCAATAAGCTTCCCATAGCGATAACTAAGAGAACTCTGAACATTCAAAGACGCTACCCAGGTAATACTTAGCATGCAGAACTGTAAGTAGGCAGATGCTTCTGCGTCTTGATTTCAAAAATCAGAAAAGCAGTAGTAACCAGGTACAAAACGGCTTATGCTTGTAGGCCTACGTACCTAATGCACTGCGCTTTCAACTGGAGAAGACGTGGAGGGACGCATACCTGAAACATAGGATCGAAGAAAGAAGTGGGACCAAAATCGATGCCTGTTTGGTATGTTTCCTCATTACTCACTAGGATCAAAAGTCAATCAGTATTAGAATTGAGATAGTTTGCACAAATTCCTTATGTTGGCAGAAATTTGTTTCTAGCCTAGATAGGTGAAGCTTATAATTGTGCAGGGTAGCCACAAATTGCAAGATGATGAACTGATCATGGAAAAATGTGCACAACAAAAAAAGAAGTAAGTAACAAAAATATAAGCTTTGGAAATTATTGCGAAAAGGTCTAAAATAATGACCTCCTCTTCGTTAGTTTCTTAGAAGCCAGGCCTGGGATGATTACGTGTCTGAGCGTGTTCACAGCACCTGCTGGCTCCATGCCAACAACCGACACGGCCATAAAAACCAGCAGTGGGGAATTAATTTCATCTTATTTTTCTATTGTTTCTGCTTATTTCTGCTCTTTGTTTGCTTATTCCCATTTTGAAAAAAATTCTTCTTAAAATAAATTGCAAAGTTCCCGATCATGACCATAACATAGACTTTGATGTTGAAGTTGGCAGTCGAAATCCGCGAAATATCCTCATACGACCTTCCAAACAACGGCTTGACATCTAGTGTTCCGAGTGTTGTTTGGAAAGGTTGCGTGGAACAGTGGGCGGGCTCAATGGGGTTGGGGCGGCGCCAATGCTCCAACCCTGGGCGCCTAGCGACTAAACCTTGTCAAATCGCGCCACAACTTCTGCACATGGTCCGCACTTGCCTACTGCTGCATAT